TACCCCTAAATGCCTTATGTTTTCCAGTAGAAAACTAGGCATATTTTGCAGCTCTGGATGTAGTTCAGCAAAACATTTAAGTGCATATACCATGACAAATACTTTGCTGAAATGGTGTTTCGTTTAATGATTTAGACATGTTATCTCCTGCCCTCAGTTTCTGTTTTTTTCTTCTGAATCCAAATTTCAAAAATAGGGTTAATTGAAACAAAATTTATTAAAAAAAATCCAAGATCATGGCTAGACTGACCTCTTACCTTATTTGTTGCAGGTGGTAAGAGAATTGGCCAGTTAAGCCTGTGATTTAAATGTCACTACTGCTATCAGCCAGCTTAGCAATCACAGGCATCTAACAGGTAAATATGGGCCTTCTGATTCCACAGCAGAAGCAAATAAGTCATTTGAGCTACTGAATCAGTATAGCAACCAACTCTCAAACCCCATCTTTTGTTTAGATAGTTTTTGAGTTACTGTGCATGCCAAAGGAAGCAACATAATGGAACATACAGGGAAGTACAACTCGTGCTGTTCACCTTTAATCAGGTCTAAAGGTTCTTCTCTGGACCCTCTCCAATTTCTCCATATCTTTCTTGAAATGCGGTGCCCAGAACTGGACACAGTACTCCAACTAGCGCAGAGTAGAGCGCCTAACTAGCGCAGAGTAGAGCGGAAGAATGACTTCTCGTGTCTTGCTTACAACACACCTGTTAATGCAACCCAGAATCATGTTTGCTTTTTTTTGCAAGAGCATCACACTGCTGACTCATATTCAGCTTGTAGTCCACTATAACCCTTTGATCTCTTTCTGCCGTACTCCTTTCTAGACAGTCGCTTCCCATTCTGTATGTGTGAAACTGATTGTTCCTTCCTAAGTGGAGCACTTTGCGTTTGTCTTTATTAAACTTCATCCTGTTTACCTTAGACCATTTCTCCAATTTGTCCAGATCATTTTGAATTATGACCCTATCCTCCAGATTAGTCGCAACCCCTCCCAGCTTGGTATCATCTGCAAATTTAATAAGCGTACTTTCTATGCCAATATCTAAATTGTTGATGAAGATATTGAACAGAGCCAGTCCCAAAACAGACCCCTGCAGAACCCCACTTGTTATACCTTTCCAGCAGGATTGTGAACCATTAATAACTACTCTCTGAGTATGGTTATCCAGCCAGTTATGCACCCACCTTATAGTAGCCCCATCTACGTTGTATTTGCCTAGTTTATTGATAAGAATATCATGCGAGACTGTATCAAATACCTTACTAAAGTCTAGGTATACCACATCCACTGCTTCTCCCTTATCCATAAGACTCGTTATCCTATCAAAGAAAGCTATCAGATTGGTTTGACATGATTTGTTCTTTACAAATCCACGCTGGCTGTTCCCTATCATCTTGCCACCTTCCAAGTATTTACAGATGATTTCCTTAATTACTTGCTCCATTATATTCCCTGGCACAGAAGTTAAACTAACTGGTCTGTAGTTTCCTGGATTGTTCTTATTTCCCTTTTATAAATGGGCACTATATTTGCCCTTTTCCAGTCTTCTGGAATCTCACCTGTCTCCCATGATTTTCCAAAGATGATAGCTAGAGGCTCAGATACTTCCTCTATCAGCTCCTTGAGTATTCTAGGATGCGTTTCATCAGGTCCTGGTGACTTGCAAGCATCTAACTTTTCTAGGTGATTTTTAACTTGTTCTTTTTTATTTTATCTTCTAAACCTACCCCCTTCCCACTAGCATTCACTACATTAGACATTCCTTCAGACTTCTCGGTGAAGACCATAACAAAGAAGTCATTAAGCATCTCTACCATTTCCAAGTTTCCTGTTACTGTTTCTCCTTCCTCACTGACCAAGAAGAAGCAAGAAATTCTAGGTGAGCCAGAAACACAAAGCTTTCTACCCAGTTGGAAAAGAGGTGCATCGCCTGTGATACATCACCCAATATACCATTGTAATGATCTTTGTACAAAAGATGCCTTATTGAGATATCATGTGAATGTTAACAACTTGCTGGCCAACAACATTGTGGTGAAATGCATATAGAAACATTATATGTAAAGGTATGAAAACTCCCTCCGCCATATGATGATGATAGCACACGTTCAAAATCCCGATGCACATAACATGAACTGTAGGGCATCATGAAATCTGGACATTCCTTAGCTTAGGATATACCAACTTTTAACAATTTTTGCCTAGGCAAGGCATGAAAATTACCCAAATAACTTGGTGCCCTATGCAGCTGGGTGCTGTGTATGGGCTCCAATGGCCAGCCCCATTCCCTGGACAGGCCGCCACCCCTCTTATCCCTCCCTCCCCCCTGCACCTTCAAGCTCTGTGCAGGCTCCTGCAGCCAGATCCATACCCAAGCCAGGGCCTCCCCCACCATTCCCCCATTCCGGCCTACCCAACCCCCACTCACCAGGCGGTGCGAATGGTGCAAGCACTGAGGACTCAAGAGGAGCTGTGGGCAGCAGCGCAGCCAGCGTCTGGAAAAGCAGCAGTTTCCCTTTAAAAGCACATTTCTCTCTAGCCAGACGTGCAGCCACCCTCTGCTCCTCCAGCCCTTACTTACTGTTCTCTGTGACCTGCGCCTGCTACCCTGAGGCTGTCAGGTAAGGCTCCATCCCTGCCCTGCTCTCTCCGTGCAGGGGCTTGCCTCCCTCCCCCACAAAGCAGCTGCTCCCTCCATGGTGGGGGAGTGCTTGTGCTTGGCTGTGTCCTGGTGATTGGCCCTGCCCCACACTGCCTAGGCAAAAGTTGTTAAAAGATGGTCTGTCCTAAACAAAGGAATGTTGTGTAACCAGTAAACGGGATCCACCAGACAGCAGGAAAAGGATATAACAGGGCAAATGTGCATGTCAGCAAACACAGGTGAGGAGAGAGAAGCATGGAGCCTCCTTCACCACAGCCTCAAAGTCTCCCCCTTTACTGCTTGAATTAACGTTTTGTTGAAGGGTAAATCGCATGTTAATCTACTTTGGAGGTTCACTGGTCTATAAAAGAAAGATGCAGAGAACCTCAAGTACTCTCTTTCTTGCACCGAAGATGACAAAACGTCCAGCACCTTGGGCTTCTGGGAGAGAACCTGGCCAAGAAAAAGGTCAGTCATCTTGCTGGAAGACTGTGCATGAGCAGGGCCAGCTTAAACAGAGACCTGAAGAAAAACTTGTTAGATGAAGTTTGACTTGTAGATGTGTGTTTTCACTTTCATTTGCTTGTAACTATTTCTAACTTATCTCATACTTGTGTTCACTTAAAATCCTATCTTCTTGTTAATAAACTTTTTTACTTTAAACCTAAACCAATCCAGTTCCGTGTTTAAACTGAATTTTTGGGTAGCTTGTTGTATGCCCATTTACATGAATGAGTACATTGAAATATTTCATTCTGTGAAGTCATTCCATACTCAGTTTTCCATATAGCAGAGTGGGCGTATGATGGAGGGACACTCCAAGATTTTGGTAAGTGGTCAAAAATCACACTTTTCTGTGGGAGGGTATGGGATGGAGGAGGGTACAGAAAGGAGCTTGGGGGAAGAGGGGGGACTGGGGTACATGTGAGGGTGCCAGATCTGAGAGGGAATTTGGGTGAAGGAGGGAGTTGTGACCTGGAGCAGAAGGAAAGAGGGGTGCCGGGTTGGGGAAGGAATATGAGTGTAGGAGCAGATTCTGGCCAGGAAGAAGGGTTTAAGGGGGTGCAGGGTCTGAGAGAGTTATGACCTGGGGCATGGGGAGGCTTCAGGTGGTGTCCTGGGGCAGGTAACTAGGGTGCAGGAGGGGATGGGGTGCCAGATGCAGACTGTCCAGGAGGTGCTTACTCAGGTGGCTCACTGCCAGCAGCCAAGCAGGACCCTCAGACAGGCTCCCTGCCTGTCACAGCCCTAGGCCCCTCAAAGCAGCTGACTTCTGAGGCCATATGCCTCTCTGCGCCACATGCCCCTAGGTGGGTCAGCCAGTGGGAGCTGTGATAACTGTGCTGGGGACAGGGGCAGTGTGAGAAGTTCCCCCCACCCACAAGGAGAAAGTGGCATCTAGAGGCACATAACCCCAGCAGCCAGCTGCTTTGAATGGCCTTGGGCTGTGGCAAGCCGGGAGCCTGCCTGAGGGTCCCTGTGGGCCACATGCAAGATCCAGAAGTACGATGGGCTGGATGCAGCCCCAGGGCTGTATTTCGTCCACCTCGGACAGACACTGCAGTACATTTACTGCTTCCACACCAAGTGAATCGGACCAAAATCAGAAGTTGATATACACTGTGTAACCTCTGCACACTTCATTCCTCGTGGTCTGATCATCTCTGAGACAGAGACAAGAGCGCAACTCCCCCAAACTCCACCGCAGAGGCATTTGCTTGCTCTCAGACAATGGCACGCTGTCCGGCACCAGAACACTGGGATTCTTCTGGTCATGGAACGGGAGAAAGTGACACACAATATCCTAGGTCTAGAGCCCTGCTCAGATACAAAATTGGTATCTGCATCTGCAAAAATGATCTACAGATATTCACAGTTATAAAGCAGATTTTCAGGGTGTTACAAAAGCACTGATGTAGGTGATACATGGCAAGCATACTACACCACAAAACCAATGTGGGGTGATTCACCCCTTCTGTTCAACTCAGGGACCATCCTCTGGTACCACAGCAATACCAGGACAATTCACACACTGTCTACAATATAGCCCAGTCTAGAGAAGTTTCTCTCAACCAGTGGTACGAGTACCCTCCGGGGTACTAGAGAGAAGTCGGGGGGGGGGGGGGGCGCGTAA